TTGCAAATTTGATTTTTTGTGGGTTTGATTAATATGTTATCTCTAGGAATCTCTAAGTCCTCCAGCATAATTCTGCTGGAAATTGACCATAGAGTTGTGCTGGAGAACGTAAAAGTTCCTAGATAAAACACTTCTCTAGGCATTTGCATGATTCTGTGGTCAATGTCCAGCAGATGTTGACCACAGAGTTGCACTGGAGGACCTGCAGATTCCTAGAGAGGTATTCTCTCCGGTCAAAAGAATAGTGGTTTTTTATTTGCAGTTTTTTCACATTCATGGGGGTCCTTTACCCCTAACCCCAGCAAATGAGGAGGGACCACTGTATATTCCAAATAAACCATAATTTTATAACGTCAAGGACAAATTTTATGCTAAACAAAGTTGTACGATATGTAATTAATTTGATGTTCCTAAAGTATGAAAATGACTTACAATCTGTAAGGATGGAGTTAATGCAATTATTCAGTTTTTCCAAAAGTTTCAATTTTTATCAGAAAAACAGTGGAAAAACATTTTTCTATTTTTTCCTGGAAACTGGACATTTTACACTATTCCTAGGATAAATTTTTTCATATTTCATAACCTCAGAAGCTAGACCCACTGCATTCAAAGGGGTTTATTCCCTGATAAATGCACACAGGATCACAGCCTTAAGCATGGGGCAAATTTCAACTGATTTTTGCCTTCCATGTAGCTTTGAAGGAGGTCTAAATACCCTAAAGGCACTAAATCTATGTGATCCTGGAAGTGAAGCAGAGGCAACCCTGGTTAGTATGTGGATGAGAGACCACCAGTGAATACCAGGTGTTGTAGGCTGCATTTCCAAGAAAGGAACCAGCAAAACCACCTCTGAATATTCCTTGCCTAAGAAAACCCTATGAAATTCATGGGGTCACCTCAAATCGACAAGTGACTTGAAGGCATATACACAGAGAGAGGGTTTTCAAAGACACAAGAGCCATGACAGAGAAGTGTGTATGTGTGTGTTTGTGTGTTAGAAGGGATGGACCACTCTTATGGGGCTTTCCACCTGTGCTGCACCTGCTTCAGCTCTTTCCCATTATTGTGTGCCAAGCCTCTCTGCTTTGACACAGGACTGTCGTTGTCAACCTACAGGCTTGGTGTTTTGTTTGCCTCCTTCTGGCAGGCCTATTTCTGTTGTCAACAGCTGCATGGGAGGTACCGGTCAGGAGATTTAGCTTTTCCCGCCAGTGAATTTCTATGCCAGGAGGAGAAAAATTTCCCTTGTTAATCATCATAGAGCCATGAAAAGAAAAATTCTGTCCATATTTTTTCTTGTGTTTGCAGAAGCACTGTGCATCCATGAATGAGACTTTGCTTAGAGCTTGCATGTGTGTATGTCCCTCCAAGTTGCCTGTTGACTTATGGCAACCCCATGAATTTCATAGAGTTTTCTTAGGCAAGGAATCCTGAGAGATGGCTATTTATTTATTGTATTGTATTGTTTATATGCTGACTTTCTCCCGGAGTGGGATCCAAGGCAGCTTTGCCAATTCCTTCTTCTAAAATCTAGCCTACAGTATCATACCCAGTGTGATCTCGTGGTTTGTGCGCAGGGATTATGACCAGGGAGACCAGGGTTTGAATTCCTGCTCTGCCATTGAAATCCACTGGGTGAACTTGGGTGAGTCCCACACTCTCAGCCCCAGAAAAACCCATGATAGTTTCGCTTTAGGGAGGCCATAAGTTGGAAACAACTTGAAGGCACACAACAACAAACCATACCCACAACCTAAGTTGGAAGTAGATTGGGGGCACAGAAATAGATGCCTTCTCTATCCTGGCTAATACCCCTGTATACAACTATATGTAATTGTTGGCCTACTAGGCTGAGTACAGCTCACTGGACATTTATTGAGCTAGTGTGGTGTAGAGGTGTACTGGAGTAATGTTCCAGGAGACCAGGGTTCAAATCCCCACTTGGCCATGGAAACCCTCTGGATGACCTTGGGCAAATCACACATTCTCAGCCTCAGAGGAAGGCAATGGAAAATCCCCTCTGAACAAACCATGCCAAGAAAAACCCACAATAGGGTCCACCTTCTTGTTGTGTGCCTTCAAGTCATTTCTGATCCATGGCAAGTGTCACCTTGGGGTTGCCATAAGTTGGAGTCGACTTGAAAGCAACAACAATAAAGTAGATGTTTCAAAGCCTCCTTTATTTTTATTCATTTATTTACTTTGCAATCTTATGCAAAATTGAGTTTACAAAAACAGAAGTGGGATGTACAACAAAATATTGCATCATGTCCCAATTCCAGTCAAGTCTTTTTAAAGGACACTTAGCATTCTGCACCCACAGAACATGCTCAGTACTCATTAGATTGGACTTTTTGATTAGTCAAAGTTTTGACCCTAGTTTCTATCCCCTCATTTTTTATTATTATTATTATTATTATTATTATTATTATTATTTGGCCTACTTCTGTACATTTAGGGGTTTCCTGGAGCATGCTGACACTTCCCCCTTGTTTCCCAGTGGCTTCCTTTTGGCTCCACTGGGATCATAACCTGGGACCCGAGTTCTATTAGTATATGACATAGAGCTTTGAAAATAAAGACATAGCCATGTTAGTCTGTAGAATCAGTATGGAAAGAGACCTTGTAGCACCTTTGAGACTAACTGAAAGATGTTGGCAGCATGAGCTTTCATAGACTTCAGTCTACTTCCTCAGATGCATTTCCTCCAAATGCATCTAAAGTAGATTTAAGCCTGCAAAAGCTCATGCTGCCAACGTCTTTCAGTTAGACTTGAAAGTGCCTCACGACTTCTCTACATACAGAGATTTGAAAAGTTTGCCTTTTTAGGACTAAAACTCCCAGAATGCCATCTGAGGAAGTAGACTGAAGTCTATGAAAGCTCATGCTGCCAATTTCTTTCTTTTAGTTAGTCTCAAAGGTGCTACAAGATCTCTCTACATACTAATTCTGCAGACTAACATGGCTATATCTTTGAATCTACCATGAACAACATGTTACTTTTTTTGGACCCACATGTTAGCTGGAGGATTCTGGAAACTGTAGTACAAAAATAACTTTCCAGAGGTCTTAATGAAATTAAGAGTCTTGTTTGTTGTTATTATGTGCCTTCAAGTTGTTTCCGATTTATGGCCACCTTCAAGTGAAGCTATCATGAGGGTTTCTTCGCAAGATTGGGTTAGGAAGAGGTTTGCCTTCCCAAGAATGAGAAAGTATGACTTGTCCAAGCCCACCTAGGCGCTACAAGAATTCTTTGAATTCCAAGCTCACTTTCAGTGAGTTTCCATGGCTGAGCAAGGAGCTAAACCCTGGTCCTAGTCCAACTCTCAAACCATGACACCACACTGCTGGAGCTAGTAAAAATCCACTAAAGCCATCACTCTGCTTCAGTCACACAGGGCCAAGCATTCAGTTGCCCCAACTCACCAATTGAACCCCAGCAACTGGTATTCCAAGTCCATTGCAACAGAATCCAGATCTATATGGCCATCGTGACTAATAACCATGGCTCTTGCTCCATTAAGGCCAATACATCCAATATTGGATACAGGCAAGGTTAACCAAAGCCTGTCCATTAATTATCTCCAGCGTCCACTTATATTAACTTCTTCTGTGGCATCATGACCTGTTCGATCACCCTTGCAAACTCACAGTATTACTGCAAAGGGCTTTACGCTGTAATTCCAGCTAAGCTCCTTGCATCCTGAATTTCAACACTCCTTGAAAATTCATCTACTCCTCTTAGGATGCTACAAACATTTGGTATGAGTAGATCCCAACTATTTATTTATTTATTTATTTATTTATTTATTTATTTATTTGGTGGGGGGAGCACAGAAGGGGCAAACCCATAACCATCCAGGGACTTCAAACGGGGAATGTTGGATTAAGCCTAAGAGGACAAAGCAATATGTAATAGCTGATTTACAGCTGCCTTAGCTCTTTTCACAAGGTGCGTCGTCCTTGCCATCTGTTATCTATTTGGATTTTTTTTTTTTACCCTACAGACCAAGACAGCTGAGCATTACTGCATAACTAAGCCCCTGAATCTGGAGAATTAAGAGATCCTGGGAAAGGAAGGCAATGATGATGAGCATCACTTGTCATGAGTATATAAAGTAAGCACTTGGATTATCTTTTATTTTAGGTTTAGAGCACAGTTTACACTAGCCAGGTCTTATAAGGGTTAAAACAGAGATTCCCTTAAAACTTCTTATATTCAGGGAGAAAAAGTCTTAGCTGGAACAGAATGACTTCCTAGCTTTTGTTTTAAAAAAAATCAAATATAACAGATAGTCAGCCCTCCATATCCAAGGATTCAACCATCCACAGCTTGAAAACAGAGTGGGCCCTTGATATCTGCTGGGGTTTGGTTCCAGGATTCCTTGTGGATACCAAAATCCAGGGATGCTCAAGTCTCATTAAATAAAATGGTGCAATAAAATGGTGTTCCCTATATAAAATGGCAAACCCAAGCTTGGCTTTCTGGAATATATATAATAATAATAAATAATAATAATAATACGTTTTATTTATATACTGCCCCTCTGGCTAGC